AGTTAAAAACTAATTTTTTTTTCGAAATGATTCTCATCCATTAAGGTGTTGGTGTGAAAAGATTTTATGTTTAATGTGTGAAAAATTCAAAACTTATATAAAGAAGTAGAGAACATTGCAATGAAGTCCTGTGTACCCAACGTTCAGATTCTATAATTGTCAACTCACTTTTTGTCTAGTCTCTCACTCCCGTACCCTACTCTGGACTATTTTGGAAGCAAATTCCAGAGATCATCATTTGATCTATTAGCCTTCAGTTTGTATCTCTAAAGATAAGCACACTTTAAAAAATTATGAGATTTAAGCATTTTCTATCTAGCAATACATTTTAGTTTTGCCATGCAACTTTTGAAGAGTATTTTATTACTTTTTCTTCTTCATCTCCTTGCCTGTATATGGAAGATTATTTATAAAACCATGTCAACACTATTATATTCTCAAAATTAATTAGAAAATGACTTCCTATTTTGAAAATAAAATCTGTTGACCCATCCTAAACCAAAGGAGTAGCCCTGGAACTTTCAATCCCAAAATATTTTAGAATTGTTTTCTTTGGGCAAGCCATTCAGTGTGTTTCCAAAGTTGGACACGTTCCTGTCTGCCCTGGCCCCGAAGGGAGTCCCACTCAAGGAGTATATAAATACTGAAATCCAAATGCGTTGACTTCAGGCTGACTCCCTTGCAAATGAACTGTTAATAACTGTCCTGTTGTCTCCATGTGGTAAAAAAAATAAACTTTGCCTGGATACAACTTTTTCCTACCATTGCAAATGCTTTCTTGTCATGTTTCTTCTTTAATCACCTATGTATGTTTGAAATTATGCTTATGGATCTCTTTGCTCTAATGCCTTTTGTTGCCATAACAATGAGCACAGTGAGTCAGATAAGCAGAAGTGAAGATGTCACTCAGTTGTTTCCATTGAACTGTAAAGTGTGGGCTTTGGATGAAGACCTTCTGAGAAGTACAGAAACCTTGCATCCCTTTTTCTTGTAACTAACACCACCCTCCAGGAACAAACTCCTAGTGTTCTTGGATATGTGTGGTAATATGTTGGTAAACTAAACTCCATCCTATTTCCCAGTGAACGTTTTTTTCTTTTCTTTTTGGTCCCAGGCACATCAACTGGATCATTGTGCTCATTACCTACGCCTGAAATTTCTGATAGAAAACAAAATGCATCAGTATGTTCCAAAGCCCGAGGAGGACATTTATGAGCTGGTAATGTTTATGACTGTTGTCCAACTACATTCTGTAGGAAATTATTTTTAAATTATGTGTGTATTTACACTAATTGTGATCGGTGAAGTGGAATAAGGTCTAAAATAAATGAGCCTTGTTTAGAATCCTACAGTTTGTGGAGATGTCCTTCCTTTACCACAGTGTTTTTGCACAGTGAAAATGTCATTCCTGTTTACCCAAAGAGCAGTGGTGTACCATCATAAAAAACTGAAATTCACAGCTAACTCTCAGATGGAATTTTAGGCATTATTCTTAGTTTCCTTTGCAGCTTTGACAGACTTTTATTTTAAATTGAGAACTCAAAGATTAGCTGGCCGTTGTCAGAAAGAAAGTACTAACTCCAATTTTGTGTGAACTTCTACCTGCATGTTGAAACTGATGGTTTATATCCTGTTGGGTGACAAAGCTGCCAGCTCATTATCCATCCTGGCCTGTTGGCATTGTATTTAGATAGATTCATGGAGACATTTATGTTCATTCGAGTTGCATTATGGGATATGGGTCCTGAAGCAGATCTGGGTTTGTATATATACTCTGCTGCTCACTAATTAGGTAGTATTGGGGAAAAATTGAGATAATGAATCTGTGTTGATTTTTCACAAAGACTAGAGATAATGGTTGACATAGTAGATGCTCAATAAATGGTTGTTATTTTAATAAAACATGGTCATCAAGATGGCACAGGGTTGGGCATGTTTTGTTCTGTTACACATAAGGTTGCCATTGAGCTGGAGCTGACTTGATGGCAACGAACAACAACATTGTAATAAAATAGTGGAAAGTCCTTTTCTTGTTAGCCGAGTGGTGCATTTTTCAGTTTCAGGAACATTTGGGCGCAGGCGCCTCTGTCATGGAGCTCATTCTGCTCTCTGCACTTACTCATCCCTCTCGGGGCCACCACTCTGCTTGCCATGAATATGTGAATGATAACAGTGTGACTTCAGACAGGGTTTTACCACAGGAAACAGAACTGAAAATTTAAACCCAACTGTTCTCTTTTGGGAAAGGGGAAGCATGATTTAAAATTTAATAGGCAGTTTTGTTTTTAGTCAACTTTATTGGCCTAAACTTTACATATAATAAAATTCACCAGTATCAAGCATACAATTTGATGAGTTTTAACAAATATGTATATACAGTCTTTTTATACCACCATGGTCATGATTTAGCACATTCTGTCATCTTGAAAAGTCACCTCCTGCTTCCTTAAGTGTTTTTAATTAAATATAAGAGAGTGTGCTTTGTAACTCTTATCCTGCTCTGCAGTAGAAGGAAGAGCAAAATGACAGGTCCATTTTCAACTATCACTTAAATCAATAAGTGTTAATAGAGAGGGTGTATTTGACACAGAGAGTGGCTGATTTATTCTTCCTGTGACATAGAGAAAAGCCCAGTCTCTGTGAATAAAACACCACCATTGAGTTGATTCTGACTCATATTGACCCTTTAGGGCAGAGTAGAACTGCCCCATAGGGTTTACAAGACTATAAATCTTTACAGTAGACTGCCTCATCTTTCTCCCATGAAGTACCTGGTGGGTTTGAACTGCTGACCTTTTGGTTAGCAGCCAAATTATTTAGCTATTATGACCAAAGCTTCTGTGTCTCTATGAGTTGGGGAGAGGGGGACCTTTTCTTACATTAAAGAGCTTTATTAGAAACACTGGAATCACTCTTAGATCATATATTTTGCATCTTGTGTTAATGAATCCTTCAAATCCTTAATGTCAGGGATCACACTTAACCAGTTCCCATGTCCCCCATATATTATACATAGTAAGTACTAGATACATATCTTTTGAAGTTGTATTGACTCACTCACTATTCTTAAGATGAGGCCATTATGTGATCTTGCCTAAGGGAAGAGACTAAGGTGTGCTAAACTTAGTCTGTTTTATCTAAATTGCTCTACACATACTTAACTTGTTGTTGTTGTTGTTGTTATGTGCCGTAGAGTGGCCCCGACTCATAGCGACCCCTCCTTGGGTTTCCGAGGCAGTATCACTACGGAAGTAGGATTGCCCAACCTTCCTTCCGAGGAGTGGCTGATGG